ACTAGAGCATTGATCTTCCCACTGCACCCCTTACATGGAAAATAAAGGTGTGGGGTTCACTCAAATGCCACAATTCCTTGGAGTTTTATTAAAGACTGGCTACAAACAGAACTTTGGAGTAGGCTTTATTTGGAAACTTCCTGGAACTTGTTTCAAAACCAGGAGACAGGAAAGAACTGAGGGTCTTGAGTTAGAGGGAAAAAAAGAAGAGGAAAGAAGAAATGAATATTCGTTTGGAAAGATGAGACTTTTTAATAAGGGGTCTCTGGTCCTCACAGGATAAAGTAGAACTCTGAATGGTAAAATAAGATCCAGATTGCATAAGGAAAGCTAAGGGAACTGCCTCTAGTGGAAGTCTCTCAACTTTAAAGTGATGTTGCTTTAATCCTGCCCAGTGCCTTTGTCTGTAGCTATAATGAGGATGGTCCACGAGCTTCACCACCATCATAACTCCTTCTGAGGAGGGGCACTCCAGTCCTTTGCCTTGGGCTGAGGTTGGCTTGTGGTGGGGTACACCTGTACTGATGACCAGATGGCCCAGCCACCTATATCAGATGAGCAATTTTTGTCTCCTACTAACGCCTACCTAGTTGGCTCAGAGGATCCCACACCCACCTAAATCTCTAACTTGCTCATAGTTTCATCTGTGGGAATATGAGACCTGCTGACTACCCTGGTTTTGAGGTTGACAAATGTTGTTAGTGAATTTTTGCTTTTGCTTTTGTTTTTCAAAATAATATATGTATCTAGCTTAAGTCAAATAATGTTATAAAAGACATAACCAAAAATAACATTTCCCTAATATATCTCTCTCATCTCCCAGCACCAAGTTCTTTTCCTCAATATCAGACTTTCAACTCTTTCCATTGTCGTTTTTTACCCTTGGTATTTACTTCCATATTTCTAACTTAATGCCTACCGCTGCTATTTCTTGCTTTATCAATTTCAGAGATTATTAATTGACTTTACCGTCAGACTCCACAAACCCATGCCAGATCATTCAATAGAAGGAAATTTCATATAGGGTTTTAGGTAGAAAGTGTTAGAATTGCTGAAAGATCAGAGGCCAGTCACTCCAGTTCCTGCCTCCCCCAGGGTTGAAGAAACTAGTGGGATGTGGTGTTTCTCAGATCACAAAGCAGGAGGGGGACCACTCAGCCACCAGACAGATTATGTAAATATTCTCCACTAGTGAGTCAGTGCTGCAGTTATACTTTATCATGCAATCTTTCCCATGGAATAATTGAACTTTTGGTGGATCTGTTTAGTTTACCAAATAACCAGCCCCAAATGCTTCTAAACCCTTAATGGTCCGTGTTCTCCTTTACTTGGTCCAGCACACAGACAAGCTTCAATTCCATATATTTTTCCCAGATGACCACCCACCCACAGCCCTTCAGCCTGGACCCATTGCTCTCTGGGCCTAGAGCCCAGCCAGCATCCTCAGGATCTCCCACCACTGTCCTACGCACAGGCTTCCACGTCCTCCTCCTTCTTGGTTTACTCCCTCATTGTGCTGAGGCATATCCTCTGAAGAAGACTAGAAGTACAATCTTTGAGATGTGGCTGTCTGAAAACACCTTTATTTCATCTTTATACTGGATTAAGTTCCAGATTAAAATTTTTTTTTTATTTCCTGCAGAATCCTGAAGGTACCGCTCCACTTTCTTATGACTTCCACCATTACTTTTGAGAAGTTCAATCCCATTCTGATTTCTGATTCTTTCTACGTGACCCTCTTTTCTCTCTGGAATCTCAAGATTTTTCTCTTTATTCCTGGTGTATTGAAAATTCACAATATGTCCTTATATCTGCGTCTTCTTGTATTCATGGTGTTGGTCAATGGAGGGATCTCATCGTTCCAACCAGCAGTGAACACCTTTTTCTATAAGGGACCAGATAGCAAATATTTTATGTTTTGTAGGCCATACAGTTTCTATCTTAACTTTTCAACTCTATCCTCTAGCCATAACTACATAGAAGCAAATTAGCATGGCTGTGTTTCAATAAAACTTTATTTACAAAACAGGCCTGTGGGTCATAGTTTACCAACTCTGATCTAGACTCTAGATAATTATGGTACTCACCTCAGGAATACATTCTTGTGTTATTTCCTTGAAAAGATCTTCTTCTCCTGGTTCTTTATTCTCCCTTTCTAGAGCTTCAGTTAGTCAGATATTAGCCTTCTTAGGTTGATTCTTATATTTTCTTTCTTAATGTTCATGTCTATCATTTTGCTTTTCTTTCTAGTCAATTTCTTTCACTATTTACCATGTGTGTAATGCTATTTTTTAATTTATAAGACATTTCTGGTCCTCCAAATTTATTTTTAAAACAGCAGCCTGCTTTTGATGTACAGGTAAAATGTTTATTGTCTTTCTGCAAATATTATTATGGAGGGTTGTTTTTTTGTACTTTATTCTTCTTGGACAGTACCTCTGTTTTGTCTGAGCATCTGTCTCCCAAATTTTCCCCCATTTTAAAGTTTTGTTTATATTTTCCTATCTCTCATATTGCATGATTTCCTCAAACTTTTGCTGGTCTTTAACTTTCTTTCATATTTAAAAAATGGAGAAAGGGGATGAGAAAATATAAGTTTAAAAAGTAATGGCTACCAAAAATTAGCTCCAATCAACAATAAACTCTTTTTAATTTTTTTTTACTAGTAGTTGGCCACAATACTTTATTTTATTAATTTATTTTTATGTGGTGCTGAAAATTGAACCTAGCGCCTCCCATGTGCTAGGTGAGCTACCGCTCAGCCAAAACCCCAGCCCCAACAATCAACTCTTACCAGACCAATCTCCCACCCGAAAACTACTATAATCCTGAACTTTAAAAATCAATCAAACAAGCAAACAAAAAAACTTCCTGAAGGCACTGAAAAGTATCTGGAAGTCAGAGACAAATTGACATTTGGAAGTGCTGGGTCATTTCTCCTTTTTTTTTTTTTTTCCCCTCTAGCCTGAAAGCAAGTCCCATTCAGCTCCAAGCAGAGAGCAAACATTCTAACAGACACCTACAGGCTTACTGGCTCAAATATTTTGAGTACTGGGCAAGAGCAAAACTGTGAAATACTTTATCCAGAAAGGAAAGTGCCAGAAAGGGAAAGCCCTATATTCTATGAATAAACTCCCACCTGATCTCTGGCTGCTTCCTGAACCATGCATAAGCAGGGCAGACTCTTAAATAGCTCAGCTAAGGCTGAAAAATTGAACCAAGATTTCAGTCTCTACCCACCACTGGAGTGGTGCAGTTTGAGTTGAGTTCAAAGTTAAATTCCTGATAATTTTTAAATAGATGAGAAATTCAGAATGCCTCAGCATGGCGTATCAATTTCTAAGGTTTAAGGGGTCCTCAAACTTCAGGATCTGTAACCAATTCCAATTCAGTCTCCCTGGAGTAGAAGCCACCTTTACTCTAGGGCTCAGGTCCTGGCTGTCAGCATCTGGGATAGCAGAACAGAGAAGGTAGGTGAAAGCCCCCACCCTCAGAAATGGCATAGCCAGTCTGTGTTACCCCCACTACTTACGGTGTATGATGTCCTCATGTACTGAACCTAGCCTCTCCAGGTCCAATTTCTAAACAGAGGGGAGGAGGACAGTCATCACCTCTGCCTGGGTCCAGGAGGGACCTGGGGTTCTAATTGAACCTATACAGACTTCAAACAAAGGCCTGGCTTGATCCTATGTGTCAAGCCCACCTGCTGGACCTCGCAGGCCATCATCTTGCTTCTCATCCTTGCCCTTCCCTGGGTACCCTGAAGTTACAGCTTCCCCCTCTGAAATAGTAGGTCCTCCTTTATTTGCTTTCCATCCTCCAAAAATGGGTTGACCTCTTTCATAGTGTCTCACATTTCCTCTAACTTTGGGGTTTTTAATCCTTGGCACACATTTTCATGAGGTTTCAGGAAGAAGAAGAGAGGAATGGGTTTAACTGTCATTTTTAACTGGAAGTACAGTTATGCATCATTTACTGAGGGGCATACATTCTGAGAAAGGCATCATTAGCTGATTTCATTATTGTGCCAACATCATAAAATGTAGTTACACAAACTAAGACAGCTATCACATCACTAGGAGATATAATCTCATGGAACTCTCATCAGATATGAAGTTTATCATTGACCAAAGATTGTAATGAGGTACATGACTGTAACTATGATTTTGGAGTGTACCTGGAACCTTGGCACCAGGCTGCCTAGGAAGAGAACAGTGCTAAAAGACAAACAGCTCAGCAAACTGCCCTGGGAAAGCAGGCATGGATAAGGAGAGGCTTAAAGGGCTTCCTTCAGGTATCCAGAGCTGCCCTTTATTTCTATTTGAAGAGGCAAAGCTGATTTGGAGGCAAAGGCAGAGGAAACCTGACCCAGTTCCCTGACAGGTCATTGATTGATCAAAACAAGAGTGCCCTAAAGCTCTGCCTGGACCTGCTCTCCTTACCGATCTTGCTGTCATTTATTCTGGGCCCTTTCTCAGGTGACAGCTGTCCTACTGTTCTAGGCAGAGCATTTAGCTGCTTCCAGACTCTGCCCTCCCCCAATTTGGTACTAGGATTGAACCTAGGGATGCTAAGCCACATCCCCAGTCTGTTTTTATTTTTTTGTTTGTTTGTTTTGAGACAGGATCTTGCTAAGTTGCTTAGGGCTCTGTTAAGGTGCTGAGGCTGGCCTTGAACTTGCCATCCTCCTACCTCAGACCCAAACCACTGGGATTGCAGACATGTGCCACCACAACAGAGAAGAAAGTCAGGCCACCTCACTCCCATCTGTATCTTTGGCTCTTTTCACATATCCAAGACATAAATGGGGTCAAACCTACTTCACAGGTATATAAAGGTGCAGAGATTTTCCAGGTGTTCATTTAAATTTTGTTTTAATTCAAAAATGGATGAAAAAGAGGTTAAATATGCAATCAAGTATATACAGTTAGTAAATGAGGAGGGAAAAATTGGAAGCAAAGGCTGACTGACTCCTAAGCTAAAATCTGAACCACAGTACTGTGCAGACAGGGACCAAACCCAGGGAGAAAAATCTTCTTTTTTGAGCTACCGAAGACCGACTTGTTCAACCCACTCCTGACCGAACCCAACTGAGTCTGTCTGGCTGAGCCACCTCTCTGCTTCCTTGGGTAGCCAATTGTGTGGAGTTTTTCTACGACTTCAGCAGACCAGCTGCAGCAAATCGATAATATTGGATCAAGAGCTGCCACCTTCCATCTGCAGGAAGGCAGCATTTCAGCAGTAAAATAAATCAATTCCTTCTGTACTTACTTTAGATAATCCTCCTGAGGCAGCACAGCCGCATCACCCAACCAGAATAAGGAGCTTCCCCAGCAGGAGGTGGGAGGCCATCTGTCCACAGGCCTCAGGCAGGCTCCCAGAAGTTCACTACCTGACTACCAGACTCCAAAGAGCACTTTCTGAAAGAAATAGGCAGTCGCTCCAGCCTCTGTGTCCATAGCTGTCGTGGGTCTTCCTGTAGTCCACCAGCCTGCCCTTCCTCTCCAGGGACATCTTTCATCATGTCCTCATTGAGGAGCTAGGGAGAATCTTTTTTTTTCCCCCTCAGCAACCCCATCTTCATTTTCCCTGGCAATAAGCAGAAAATAATCCTGCTCTGAGCAGCCTGGCAGCTCTAGGAAGCTTCTGGAAATGGGAAGGAAATACCAGATACCGCCAATGGCATTCCTATCAAGGGACAGATTGGAATGGGGCTTCTTTGAAAGTTGCATCTACCTTTCTTCCCTTTTATCTTTCCACCCTTCTTGCTAACCGGTCATGTCTGTCTATTCCAAAGGAAAAGTTCTCTTTATTATTAATCTCTCGTGGCAGGAGAATTGCACCCCTGCCATTTCATGTACCTAGAAAACCTGAACTTCATTTCAAAAAAAAACCTCAATTCCAAGGATCAAAGGGATCATGTGGTACTGATGTAAAATGGATTTTTGGAGGGAAACTGACCTGCAGAGAAGCAGCAGAACACATGTAACCCACAGACTTCTCTCCACCCCACAGCACAGGCCAAGCACAGATGGCCACGTGCTCCACGCAAGGTTGCCATTGACGGGCACACCTTGATGCTCTCTCATTTATAGGGCCACGGAACAGCTTAGTGACTACTGAATAACGGGAGCTTCCTGGTGTCCAACAGCCTTGTTAGGGGTGGGGCCTTCAAATCCCTGTGGCCTGCTTCTCCACTGAGCTGACTCAGAACTGAGCCAGAACTCTGCAAAGGTGCCAGAAGCAAGAGAAAATGAGCTCCTGGGCCATCTCTGTGTGTCTTTCACACCAGAGAATAAAAAAAGACTGCAGGGCTGTGTGGCTCTTTGGATTGGACACAGAAGTTCACTACCTGACTACCAGACTCCAAAGAAAGGGCTAGTCACAAAATCGGAAAAACATCTGAAAATGTTTTCCATCTCCAAAATCAAGAGTCTATAACAAGGAGAGAAGTCTCCATATTACCTCCTTTCCATCTCCGTGCCCTTTTCTTGTTTTCAGCATCGTCTCTCATCCATGTCCCATCCCATCACCTCCCTGGAAATGAACCTGATAAATCATTAACATAATTAGCTATGGTATCTAACTTTTGTGTAGCACTTTACTATTTATAGGACAACTCTGTGCTCATTCTCACTTTATATGCACAATAGTTATTTAATGCATCCCTAGCAGGCACCAGGCATTACACTAATAGGAAGGGAGCCCCTAGCAAAATGATACTGAGTTCTCTAGCATTCCCAAATTACCCTTCTCTTCAATTTGAAAAATTAGATGGTTGGAGCTTCTCTACCTTCATTAAATGTCAAGCTATCTGAATGTTTCTGAAAGGGCTCATGTCTTCGTGGTCCTCTATCTGGTTTTCCTTCGCCACTAAACTCTCAA